CGTGCATGCAAAGAACATATGATTATTAATTATGTGAGGTTTCGTACTTCCTTGTAATATCTTAGAATATAGCACGAAACATGATGTGATAATGTTTGGTTAAGAGAGGAGTAATATTACTTGGGTAGTTATGAATATTATAATGACATGCTAAATTACAGTGATATAGTATTATAGTAAAAGAACAGTGCAATCATCAACAATAACAATCAATAGTAATATTTCAAGATAAATAATTCACAATGTGACACAGAGAAATTAAGTAATGGTAAATAAAATATCAATTATCAATAATGATAACGAGGAAATAGGAAATGATAAAGAATATCATTGAATATACATATATAATATATATATATATATGTATATACTAGAACAAGATATAATTATACATAAGACAAATGAATACAGGGAATTGAATACATAATTATATATGTATTGTAACGAGACAAAACTTGATACTAAGCAATAATAGTAATAATATGATAATAATGAAAGGGTAATTGTAATTGAAATCAATTACGACTATTATTTGATTAAAATTTAGAATGAGGCTTATAGTGTGATTGGTAACGTAAAGACTTTAACTTGCTAGTGAACTTGTAATACTTCAAATGATTGAAACATAAAATAGTATAAGCTTTGTAAAATATATGAATATAAGTGTATATTTATATAATGGTTGGATAGACGATGCAAAATTATCAACGAAAGTTATAATGTAGCGAATTTAAAAATAGGTAATTAATTATTCTCCTTACGTTTCTAGAATTTTAGCAATGAAATAAGTAAATTGATTAAGATTACCTTAATAATACGAAGACTCAGAATGTTCGGTGGAAATAGTATGAGATAGTAACGTATGGCAGGCTTCGGCAGAGCAGAGCGTGTTCGAGAACGATTCAGCAAAGAAATAGTAATGATTTAGTAGAACTTGGAATTCTCGAGGGGACGTCTGGACTGCACGAGTGACTCTTTTCAACTGCTTGGCACGTCTTGATTGGGCAAGAGAGCTTTTTCGACTGCTTTAAACGTCTGTACTTGGCAAGAGAGCTTTTTCAACTGCTTAAAACGTCCGAACTGAACGAGTGGCTTTTTCCAACTGCTTAAAACGTCCGAACTGAACGAGTGGCTTTTTCCAACTGCGCGGCCGCTGCCGCGAGACAATAGAATGTCTTCTGCGTATGTCAATTAAGCGTTACGCTATGAGATTACTCGCTTTTATATGCGAGAATATAATTTAACAAAGGAATTTTATAATTAT